GGGAAGGTAAATTCCAACTAAATCTTACTTCACGTTGACGGCATAAAAGCGTTGTTCGCGCCAGTTGACAGAATTACCTGGAACACCGGTTATGGTACCTCTGCAATTGGAAGATCCGCAACGACACTCAAATGGCTCCATATTATCGTCTAAAAAATGAGAGTAGTCGAGTGTTAGTTCTTCATTCTTTTTGATACTTCGAAGGGCGACTACATTTAAACCATCAAGTCCAGTGTTGGCATCGCAACTATGATTCTGTGGTGACCACTCAGCGGGGTCTTCATCCCACAACACAAACACTTCCTCACTTACCGCATAAGCGTACCGACGGAAATTCAGCTTTTGCTCTTCACTCCAATGCTTCTCAACGAAACGTTTGGTGACGATCCGTTGTGCTTTTTCTTCCCCGGTAAAAATGATATCTCCCTTACGAATGGGACGAGTTGCATAAATACCAAAACCAGCAATGGAATTGCCCTTCATCTGGTAGGGCTTTCTATTACGTTGATGTCTCGCGATACCTTCAGAAATGATCTGGTCAAGGAAACCTTTTTGACCCGCTTCATCAAACTTTAAAATAAAATCAGCGGAACCTTCATATCCATCAGTATAAAAAACTGAACAAGTAAAATTGATCTCAAGGAAAAAGATCTCATTGCGGTCGTTCACCCTGAAGTCAAGGCGCGCATAACCGACACCATTAAAGCCTTTGAATATCTTTTCAGTGGCTTCCCTCAATTTGGCATCGAGAACCGGATCTGTACAGGGAAAGTTACAATCAGGATGAAGTTCAGAAGTCTTCAGAGAGTAGGTTTTAAAACTCTTTCCCTCGGGAAAGACATACTCAACGGGCTTAAATACTTTACAGGACTTTCCATCTTTATTGGCGGCTACCAGTACAGTAAACTCTCGTCCATCGATATATTCTTCAACCAGGAGTGGCCCATAATCATTGAATATCTCCACTACTTTCTTCAAAAGGTCTTCCTTATTATATAAAACAGAATTCTCATCAATGCCGAGGCTATCTCCTGCTTTGGCGGGTTTGATAAACATCGGGTAGGAGAGATATTGCTCAACCTTGTCGATATCTTTAGGTTGGTCGATAATAAAATACCCAGGAGTTCTGACACCTTCGCAATGCGCTACATACTTCATGAGTTCCTTGGAAGGATCATAAAGCTTGGCAGTCGGTCCTGTATGGGGCAGGTCGAGTAAATCGAAAGAATGAATGACGTCAATGGATGGAACTTCCCATTC